ATATATATATATATATATATTCGGGTCAGCTTTTACATTATACACTTTATAAGACACTTGATCGACAGTTTAAAATTTAATAGCATTAAGGTGTGTATTGGCCGACCGTGTTTATAGAAAAAGTTTACCTATGTAATAGGTTTTCTATTTTGAGGTGCTGTTGGTTTGGTTGAAAAAAAATATGTTTATATATCTAAAATGGGAATACAAGGTTTCCATATTTAGTGGTAGAGAAAAATGTATTTTGGAAAGAAAAGTTAAACGTATCCGTTTTGGGCGTGGATTAAGGATTGAGGTGAATGCAGAACACAGATAAAGAGAAACATGGAAAACTATGGATGAGAAAATGATAGATATAACATGATGAGAAAATCAGAAAAAGATAAAAAGAAAATATAAGGCAGAAACACTAATTTATGAATAAGTGGAACAAAACTTTCCTACCTTTTGTTAGTGCATATCATTCATGCGTTTGGAACATTTTATTTCGATTATTTTATATATTTTATGTTGGCTTTGGATGCTATATAAATCTCAACGGTATAAAATGTTCACATATTTTATGATGGATTAACATGTGAATAGTAAGTTCTCTTTCTATGTTAAGTGATCAACATCCATCATAATATGAATACAAAATGTGATAATTTAATTATATTGAGAGCCATATTCTATGATGGGTGTAACCACACTTATAATAGAAGGTGCATATTCTATGATAGCTATAGTCGCACTCATTATATATAACGTGCATTTTTTTAATAGCCTGTTCATTTTTAAAATTTTTCAAAACTTGTATGATAAAAATACATTTCAAACAATTTAAAATAACATATTGTTATTCAGTTCAATATAAACATATATAAAATATAATATTTATCATTTAAATTGAAATAATATACAAATTAAAGTGCATAGAAAACTAAGAAAGTTAATAATAAAGTTAAAGTTAACAATAACTGACATTAATTAATAACAATGAACAATTACTATAACAGTGTATCAATGTTGTCAAATAACAATTAATCTAAAGTAAACTAGCCAATATACAAAAGGAAAACTAAAACAGTATACAAAAACATAAATCAATCCTCAAATTGACTTAAGAAAGGAAAATACTCATCTTTTGTAGATGTCTTCATGGAAAAATGGAGTTTGATTTTTGAATAACTACGATTAATTCAAAATAGAGATAAGTTAAACATTAGTCAATCGATAAAATGTTGGATAATCAATTAAAGTAATTAATTTGATTTACAAATGTAGTACCTCTATTTATGACTCCCAAATTTGTCAATAATGATGGTGAACATATGTTTCATCATGTAATAGTCACTCATAATTATTCAATTAACGTGAACACTATAATCTAGTGAATATAAAATATAAATAAATCATAGTTAGAATTTAACATAAATTTACTAATTAATTATCATAAAGGTCTAAAAGTATGAGTACCTAAAAAATATTTAAATTAATGTCCAATATTGTATATATAGGTACCAAACATGTTTTTTAATTTTTAATTTATATCTCAATTAATTTAAAAGTATATTGTATAAATTTCTTAATGTAGTACTTTCTAAATTTTTATATTTCAATTAACTTAAGATTTTCCATAATTTTATACCAACTATCAAAAATTAATTAATTATGCCAGTATAAATATAAATATATCATTATTCCATTTTCTGTTTGTTTTTGGCATTTTTGGGATTATTAATTTCTAAAAATTATATTAATCTTATAATAATTTTTATAATTTAATTTTTTCTTTAACTTTTTCTATTGTACCTATTATTTATTTTTTCCCTCCAACCTCTAAAATAAGCATAAATATAACTAATTTATGCTAATTAAAAATATTAGTTAGCCTCATTTAATATTTTTAATCTCAGTAAGAAAATAAATTTTATTTTCTATAATGCCCTTCCAACTAATTATTGAAAGATTTAATTCTATTGAAACTTGTTTTTAAGTAAAATACTCTTTTTCTTTATTTTTTTATTATATTATTGGTGTAAAATATCTATCAACTTTATTAATATTTGCTATTTGTCAAGAAACTAAATTGACTACCTTAAATAGAATCTTTTCTCTTAATCACATTTTTTGTTTCATTTATAAAATTTGAACTCAAAATCTTTGTTTAACATTGTGTTTGGTTGGAGGGGAATGGAAGGGAGAGGAGAAATTTTTAAATTTCTTTCTTGTTTTGTTCAAATTTTAGGAAGAAAGGGAAGCAAAACTCTTCATCTAATTTTAGTTCTCGTCCAATATAATATTAGAGGGATTTGGAGGGGAAGGGAGGAGAGATGAGTAATTTTTAAATATTTTTATTATAATATCCAAAATATTCCTACTTATATTATTTAATTTAAAATTATAAGAATATAAAAATAAATTGATTTTTAAATTTCTTTTCTCCCTTTAAAAACTAAACAAGAAAAGAATTATATGTCTTCTCTTCTTCTCAACCATACAAAATTTCTAATAAAAATTCCCCTTTCCTTTCCTCCTCTCTCCTCTTCTCAACCAAACCAAATTTGTAACTACTTCTCTCCTCTCCTCTATTAAAATTCCCCACCTTTTCTCTTTTGAACTAAACTAGCCTAAGAAATTCAAATGTAGTTTCAGTTGACTAATGACTTATTTGATCCATTTTTCTCCATTTTGAGAGCCATTTAATTGCTATCACGAGAATAAAAGATCTTTGTAAGTAAAACCAAACTTAAATAAAGAGTAATTTAATGATAATTTCATTAATAATGATAAAATCACTTATATTTTGAATCACGAGTTGAGTCTATTTATTTAAATTTGCTTTCTTATAAAAATTCTTTTTTAAATAAAATAAGTACTCTCTATTTTTTATGTGTTTGTTTAAATTTATATTCTTAAAATAAACAATTTCTTTGTTTTTTCTATAAACAACTTCTATCTATTTTTTAAAGAATTATTTTTTAAAAAGCACTTGTTTAAAAAAAAAACTTATTTTCAAATTTTAAACAAATGGAGTAAATATTTATTTATATTAAATTTAGAAAGATGTACGTTAATTTCTCGCTTATATTCTTATCTCACGATATTATTTATATATAAAAAATGAACATATAAATATAATGTCTCTTTGAAAAACTGTTCTCTGGGTTCGGAATTGGATTATGCTGTGTTGCTACGAAACGTCATTAATGACGCTTTTGGGGCTGCATTATTATAAGTCAAACATGTGGTTTCGCATTATAATTAATTTGCAAACACTCTGTAATAAGCCTCCCCACATGTTACCAAGAATCACACAACCCTGACCTTTCTTTTTTTTTAGTTGCTTTTGGCCCCCACCACTCCACACTCCCAACCCCACGCCACTCTCTCCTTCCTATAAAATCCATCATAACGTTGCAATATATTGAATAATAAGGCCACTGAGAGGGTCTTACGAACATAACGGAAGAAGAAGCCTCACACACACACTCACTAGTGGTCAGAGAATCTTACTGCTGTTGGTTGTTTCTGAGGAAACTAATTATTAATTAAAGGGTGCCAAATGGGTGGTGGTGATGATCACAACAGTTCTGTTCCCATGGCTAGGAAGAATGGCTCTTTTAGGTCCATTTTCATGCATGCCGATGGCCTAGACTGGTGTCTCATGATTTTGGGTCTGATTGGGGCCATTGGTGATGGCATAGGCACCCCTTTGGTGTTGTTTGTCACCAGCCATATTATGAACAATATTGGTGATTTTTCTAGCGACAAAGGCAGCACTATCATCCACAGCGTCAACAAGGTTTTGTTTTATTTTTAGTTAAAACTTAAATACAGTACTTTACTATAAAGCATAGACATCTGCATAACGTTTTATCTATGTCTATATCGTGCCTGATGTCCGTATCAGAGTCATGCTTCATAAGTACTATAAATAGTGTTTGTGTTCATAAGTAATTTAAATGGGAGGTGTTTGTGTTATTTTATCAAAATCAGAATTTGATTTGGAATCTTTAATCATCTGTATGATAAAGATTTGCATTAAATGATAACGTGATTATAGAAGTGAAACTTCAATTTTTATCTGTGAACAACATAAACAACACCTAAGTAGTAAGGACCTGAATCTCAGTTTTCGTTAACTCTTTTTTCTTTCCCCCTCTCTCTAGTTCAACACAAAGAAAATAGGCTCTCTCTCTCTCTCTCTCTCTTTTCCATTCCTCTCTCTCTAGCTTAAAATTATTTAATTTAGATTTATTATTTTGTTATGCAGAATGCTGTGGTGTTGTTATACCTGGCCGGTGGGTCTTTTGTTGCTTGTTTCTTAGGTGAGTGTGTCTATTTTGCTATGATTTTGATTTTTGACTTTGACTGACTTATCTTTCTTTTGCATGATATAAAAGTATTAACATTGTACTATTTTAACTTTGGGGGATTTTAGAGGGTTATTGTTGGACAAGAACTGGTGAAAGACAAGCTGCAAGAATGAGAGTCAAGTATCTAAAAGCAGTGCTAAGGCAAGAAGTAGCATACTTCGACTTGCATGTCACAAGCACATCTGAGGTCATCACCAGTGTCTCCAATGACAGCCTCGTAATTCAAGATGTTCTTAGTGAAAAGGTGTGCAAAAAACCAAAACTCATAATAACGTGCTTTTTTCTAAATTAAAGCTATTTCAATTTTGATATTAAATCAAGTTTTTCACTTCTTGTCATAAATTCCTCGAATGATACATGATTTATTAAAATATAATGTGTGGAATTTAATGATGTTATACTAATAATGTAAGTTTTACACAGTCAATCAGAAATCATGATTTATAAGATATTTAAAAGAATCATTATAAAAGTATGAATTTTTTATTTATGTTAAATTATAATTAATTAATTGTATAAAACTGTTTTATATTGCATCAATATAAAACTTATATATAACCTTTTTAAGTGCAAGTTGTACTATTTTTCTATAAATAAATAAAAAAAAGATGCACTTCTATAATTTACATCAAAATAAAAATTTGCATCAAAAGAATTGGATAACAGTACAGATAATACCTGAGAAACTAAACTGTATCTAATTATTCACTTATTAAATACACACAAGGACTGAGTTAAGAATTTTGGGTTAAAATATTAGTAATTTTTTATTTTTTGATTGCATTTGTGACATTAGCAATTGCTTTTCCAATTTAAAAACCAGGTTCCGAATTTTTTGATGAATGCCTCTATGTTTGTTGGGAGCTACATAGTGGCTTTTGCACTATTATGGAGATTGGCCATTGTGGGGTTCCCTTTTGTGGCTCTACTTGTGATCCCTGGTTTTATGTACGGGAGGACACTAATGGGGTTGGCCAGCAAGATAAGAGAAGAGTACAACAAGGCTGGCACCATAGCAGAACAAGCAATATCTTCCATCAGAACCGTTTATTCCTTTGTTGGGGAAAGCAAGACCATAGATGCTTTCTCTGATGCTCTTAAAGGCTCTGTTGAGTTGGGTCTGAGACAAGGCTTAGCAAAAGGCTTGGCCATTGGAAGCAATGGTGTTGTCTTTGCTATATGGGCTTTCATGTCCTACTATGGTAGCAGATTGGTCATGTACCATGGGGCTAAAGGTGGGACTGTGTTTGCAGTTGGAGCAGCCATAGCTCTTGGTGGATTGTAATTACACCTAACCTTTATCTCATCATTCCATTTAATTCATTTAACCAATTTCAAGAAATTGTTAAATACACGGATATCAAAGTGTTTTAAAAGTTTTCTGCACAAAATAAAAAAATAAAAAAATACTTTTTTTTTAATAGAGAAGCTCTTAAATATTATACTCATACTTTTCAATGTGACACATGTTCAAGTTTTATTAACTCTTATAAACTGAAATACTCGACTACTTGTCGCATGGAGATTAACCAAAGCTTTATAGACAACAGATATCTTTTTATTATACAACAATTTCTAGTAGTTTCAACTTTCAACGTTATTTTTTAATTAAAATTAAGAGTTCACCTCACTAATAATCAATGTGCTTTTTTTATTATTAATCTTAATTTATATCATACAAAATATCTAAGTAAAATTTTAATTTCAGTTCATTAATAATTTTAAAAATATCTAAAGCATTACACGTAACATTTGTGATGAAAATTCTAATCAATGTCAATAACACTTACTCTAATATTCTTTATTAATAGTTAAAAATCACAAATATTAATTACTCTTTTTTACAAAATTAAAAAATAAACTCATTAAATGAAATGCAGTAAAATTTATGAATAAATTTCGGCTAAATTGAAAGTCCTGCAATCATTGAAAATCCTATGATGATCATCATAATTGGAAGATCAAAGTGAGAGTTTATAGCAAGTATTTTGTTTGTGACACAGAGCATTAGGTTCTGGGTTATCGAACGTGAAGTACTTCTCAGAAGCAAGCACTGCAGGAGAACGCATAATGGAGGTGATAAAAAGGGTTCCAAAGATTGATTCGGCGAACATGGGTGGTGAGATTCTGGAGAACGTTTCAGGGGAAGTGGAGTTCGAGCACGTAAACTTTGCGTACCCATCAAGGCCAGAGAGTGTTATTCTGAACGATTTCAGCCTAAGGGTTCCAGCAGGGAAAACAGTGGCACTGGTTGGAGGGAGTGGCTCAGGAAAATCCACTGTGGTGTCACTTTTGCAAAGGTTTTATGACCCAATTGAGGGAGAGATACGTGTGGATGGTGTGGCCATTCATAGGTTGCAACTCAAGTGGTTGAGGTCTCAGATGGGGTTGGTGAGCCAAGAGCCTGCACTGTTTGCAACCAGCATTATGGAGAATGTGCTCTTTGGAAGAGAGGATGCCACTCAGGAAGAGGTTCTCCAGGCTGCCAAGGCTTCCAATGCTCATAATTTCATCTCACAGTTGCCACAAGGGTATCATACTCAGGTCAGTCTACTTACTAATTAATTACTTCTCATTTCTCAAATGAATATGTGTTAGCATGCTATATGTGTCACACAACATGGAAGATTTACCCTTGCTTGTTTGGATAAAAAAATAGAGGAAAAATAATAAGATTTAAGTTAAATTATACTTGTCGTTATTTTATAAGATTTAATTTTATTTTATTATTTTTAAAGGATTTAATTTGATCTTTTAAATTTTAAAAAAAAATTCATTGTTATTCATTTGTTTGAAATTGATGAAAGGATAATATCATTTAAAAATTAGATGATCAAATTAAATTATTTAAAAATAATGAACATGTTATAAAGATGGACTAATTAAATTGAACAACCTTTTTTTCTATAGATAAATTTTAATTTTTTTACCTATTTATAATAAGTTTTTTATTAGATAAATCCTTTATTTTTTATCATTTTTTCTTAACGTAAAGTATTCATTTATAATCTTGTTAAGATAATTAAAGAAAATTTAAATTTATCTAGACCAATATATATTAGATAATTTTTTTTAATTTGGTCCTACTACTTTTAAAATGTTCAATTTTATCTGACTATTTTTTAAATGTTTAATTTGGTCTTTTGATTTTTTAAAAAAAATTAATATTATTCTTTTATTTAATTTTATTAAAATCGTTAACATCAATTTGAACGAAAAGATAATATTAAATATTTTTTTTAAAATTAAAGAATTAAATTAAATCTTTTAAAAATAATATAACTAATTTAAATCCTAAAAATAAATAAAAAGACTAAAAACATAATTTAGCTTAATTTTTAGATTCATTTAGTGTAATTTGTTATACTCAAACTAATAATTGGATGTTTGCAAGAAATTTGAGTTAAAAAATCATTTAAAAATTAAAATAATTAAGATTTTGTAGGACATGAGGTTAAAGTGTTGAAGAGGAGAATTTTTTTAATTGTGTAAAATATAATATTTTATTATTATATTTTTCACAAATAAACCATCAATTTAATCATAAGCTATTGTATTCTTCTTAATAGTCTTCAAATTAATAAAATTATATAATAATTAGTTTACAAATTACTGAATTTCATCTGGTTAGTCTCTTTTGATTAATATATTTTTACTAATATTGAAGGATTAATCTGAAAAAGAATTTAATAGTTGAGAGATTATATAACATAACTTTTAATACTTTAAAAACTATTTATATAATTTCAATAATTTAAGAACTATTAGAAAAATATATACTTTAAAAGACTAAATGGATGATTTACTCAACCATTTGGTAATATTTGATAACGATATATTATGGAGTGACATGAATGATTCTTTGATTTCATGATGTCCTTCATCCAAGTGACTCGTGTTCATCCTAATAATTTTGTACCATGGTAAAACAAAACACCATATAGTAATTTGGTGGTCCACGTACGTAAAGCACATCAACTTCCTCCAAATGGCTTACCATCAAATGGTTTTTAAGATCAGATTCCGTATATATGGCCGGCATGTTGACCTTAATTTTTTTTATCAAACCATTACCTAATAGCATGTATTCAAAACATCTTAGAACAACTCATGACGATAAAAAAAAATTATATTTGAAAACCAATATTTTAAAAACTAATGTTAAAATAGACACGACGGCGTACACTCTGTATATATATCATATAGACATATAGATATCTTTATAGTTAAACTTGTACACAAAAAATATTAATATTTTATGTGCTAAAAATTCAAAATTATTTATTCATAAAAAAAGGTTATGTCATGACTCTAGCTAAGTAGTTCTTGCCCGGAAGTTATTAGCACTAATTAATTAAATGAGAAAAATCATTATTCACGTTTGAAAGCTATTTAGTGTTTACTCTATCAAAATTCGTTAATTTAGATAGTTCAACACATTTTTTTTATGTAAAAAAACACTCGTGTAAGTGTTTTTTAACTAATTAAGAAATAGGGTTCGACTATTAATTTGGATATAAATTTGTAATTAGAAGGACTATTTTATCTTATAGGCCATATAGATTCACTTTGTGAAAAAAAAAATTACTTCTTCATATAAATAATAATAAAGAAACAAATAAGCTATGTAAATCTTACACGTAATAAACGATGAAGAACCTTATTCACGTAGTTGAAAAGATATAAGTAAAATAATAATTGTTAAAAACTATTTTTTAAATACCCAATATTAACATTCATTATTTTTCTCTACATCTTTTCACACCATGTCATACACCACATCACTTATATCATAGTTATGTTTTTATCTCTCTCAAACTATTGGCAAATAATATGTTAGGTGTCGAAGAAACAATATCTATTCACGTGTTCCCATTATAACACCATTATTTAAGAAACTAAACCCGCTCCACCATTGATTTAATCGATTAGTGGACAAACTTATGTGCTATTTTGGTGAATGATACCAGCTTTTACGTGGTTTTCAAATTCAGAATTAATTAATTATGCTTCTTGGCTAATTTTTTTAATTAATTATTAGGTGGGAAAGTTTCAGCAAACACTAACACATGTCCAGTTAATTTTATTTGGAGAATTTTAATAATGTCATGTATAGCATAGATAATCTGCTTGAAAGACTTGGGAGAAATATACAGAGACATCAATCATTATCATTGACTATCCCAAAATAGATAAACAATTACTTGCACCCTTTTCACACTTTCCCTGTCACGATCGACTTTATGCAATTGATTAATAAGTTTATTTCACGCCTATGATAGCACTTGACCAGGGACGGAGCCAGGATTTCAATACTGGGGGGCCGAGAATTGGAATGATCAAATGAGGCGCTACATTTTTTTAAAAAAAAAAAAATTCCAAAGTGATACCACATAGCAGGCCGTACCAGAAGTCCAAAAGTTGAATAAAAAAATAAATTTGGGTTATTCATTTAATTATACATATGAGTTTATATTAAAAATAGGGGGTGCCATATAGTAATATATATGTATATAAAAAAAAATTAAAATTGTTGGGGGGGCCGTGGCACCCGTAGGTCCCCCCTTGGCTCCGTCCTTGCACGAGACCACATTTTCTAATAATCACTTGATACATAGCCTCTCTCACATACTTCCGAATCTTTAAAAAAAAAAAAAAAAAAGTGTTGCCAAGTACAGTGCATCGAACGTATTATGATAATTATTATATACTAGTCAAGATAATACCTGTACAGGTGTCAATAGTTTATTAGCGAAGCTAGCATACCCAAGTTTAATACATTAAACAAGAATATTTCCCTTGTCACTTCGAATTAGTCATTTGTTTTAAAATCCTGTTGTTGTGTCATGATAATTGACTCCGTAAATAGAATCCAATTAAGTTTACTTTAATTTAAAATTAATATACGTTTATGGATTTAATTACTCATTCTACCATTTCAATTCTTTAGATATTTTAACTTTTTGCACACAGATTAAAAAAATTAAATTTATACATATTTAGGCTAAATTACTTCCATTTATTATTTCTCTACTGAAAAATATTATTAATGTCTCATTTAAACTAATCTTAATTATTCAACTGTACATAAAAATGTAAATTGAAAAAAAAATTACATAAAATTATATTAGACTTCTAAAAGAACTAAAATATTGAAACAGTAAGAATCAAAGTTTTGAATTGATATGAGAGTAAAAAACAGTAACAGAGTAATAATGTAAGTCTTGGATTGTCATATTATAAATGAATTTTATGATAATTACTTTAAAAGTAGTAATGTTGATAATATAAACTTTTTTTACAATTACAATGTAGGTTTGTCTAATTTTATCCCAGATAAAAATGATTGGTACAATTTTCATACTCTAGGATGATTAGTACAATTTCTTAATTTCATTTTGTGATGGGCTTGTTTAACCCTATTTTTTACTTGTGTAAGGTACAAAACCCTTTACAATGTATCAAAACTAAACTATTTACAAGAAGATATTTTATATCTACAGGTTGGAGAGAGGGGAATTCAAATGTCAGGGGGACAAAAGCAAAGAATTGCTATAGCAAGAGCAATAATTAAAAAGCCACGAATTCTCTTGTTGGACGAAGCTACAAGTGCCCTAGATTCTGAATCTGAACGAGTAGTGCAAGAAGCATTGGACAAAGCAGCAGTGGGACGCACCACCATAATCATCGCTCATCGATTATCCACCATAAGAAACGCAGATGTGATCGCTGTGGTGCAAAATGGGAAGATCATGGAGATGGGGTCACACCATGAACTAATCGAAAATGACAATGGTCTCTACACTTCACTAGTTCGTCTCCAACAAGCGAAAAACGAAAAAGAAGAAACCCATTTCCACCTTCCTCCTCCTCCTCTTCCTTCATCATCTATATCAAACAAAGACATTCACAACTCAAGCAGTCGTAGACTCTCCCTTGTGAGTCGTTCCAGCTCCGCAAACTCGATCTCTCGAGTTGGCGGTGCTGGCGATGATGTTGTTGAAGAGGTTGTTGTGGAAGATATGAAGCTTCCACTTCCCTCGTTTCGAAGGTTGCTAGCATTGAACATTCCCGAGTGGAAGCAAGCGTGTTTAGGATGTTTGAATGCTGTGTTGTTTGGTGCAATTCAGCCTGTGTATGCATTTGCGATGGGGTCGGTGATATCTGTTTACTTTCTCCAAGACCATGATGAGATAAAGAGGAAAACCATGATCTATTCACTTTGCTTCCTAGGGTTGGCTGTGTTTTCCTTGGTGGTTAATATTCTCCAACACTATAATTTTGCTTACATGGGAGAGTACTTGACTAAGAGGGTCAGAGAACGAATGCTTTCTAAGATACTCACTTTTGAAGTTGGATGGTTTGATCAGGATGAAAATTCCACTGGTGCTGTTTGCTCTAGACTTGCCAAAGAAGCCAATGTGGTATGCTTTTCTTGTTATTTTTGCCCAAATACATATGCTTTATTGCACGTCATGCATTTTTATTTTGTAGCTAGTATATAAAGAACAAACACATAATTAATCTGATACATTAAACCATGCCATCTCAGTAGTACACAATTTTCATGCAAGTAAATTTGTACAAATTAATGACCATTTCCCTTTTGATCATAGTTTACAAGTTTTCCTTCTTTTTTGGATCATTATTATGCTGTTGATATTCATTAGGTCAACTTTTTAATAATCTAAGAGTCTATTTAGATACAAGTAGTAGTGTTTTTTTGAGAGTTTATCTACTTTAAAATATTCTTTGTATCCAATAAAAAAATTCTCAAAAGTGTTCCTAGCTAGTTTGTAAATAAAGAGATTCTAAATATTTATTGCATGATTAAAACTTTACCTTTTGCATTGTTATTGTCATGACTTAATTCTTGGTAATTATCTTTCAATAACTTTGTATTCACCTATGGTATTTCATGCTTGGTACAGGTGAGGTCTTTAGTTGGAGACAGAATGGCTCTAGTGGTGCAAACTATTTCTGCAGTGGTAATAGCTTTTACTATGGGCCTAATCATTGCATGGAGGTTGGCCATTGTTATGATAGCAGTTCAGCCCATTATCATTGCTTGCTTCTACACAAGGCGTGTCCTTCTCAAGAGCATGTCAAGCAAGGCCATCAAGGCCCAAGATGAATGCAGCAAGATAGCTGCCGAAGCTGTTTCCAACCTTAGAACAATCACAGCCTTTTCTTCTCAGGACAGGATCCTCAAAATGCTCGAAAAAGCCCAAGAAGGCCCAAGTCGTGAAAGCATTCGACAGTCATGGTTCGCAGGTGTAGGCCTTGCATGTTCCCAAAGCCTCACATTTTGCACTTGGGCTTTGGACTTTTGGTATGGTGGAAAGCTTGTGTTTCATGGCTACATCAATGCCAAAGCATTGTTTGAGACCTTCATGATCTTGGTGAGCACAGGAAGGGTGATTGCAGATGCTGGAAGCATGACCAATGACTTAGCCAAAGGTGCTGATGCTGTGGGCTCAGTTTTTGCAATCTTGGACAGGTACACAAAAATTGAGCCTGATGACCTAGATGGGCTCAAGCCTGAGAAATTAACAGGAAAGATAGAGCTTCATGATGTTCATTTTGCATACCCAGCTAGGCCCAATGTGATGATCTTCGAAGGCTTCTCAATCAAAATTGATGCAGGGAAATCCACAGCTTTGGTAGGGCAAAGTGGGTCTGGAAAGTCAACAATAATCGGCCTAATTGAGAGATTCTATGACCCTTTGAAAGGGACTGTGACCATAGATGGTAGGGACATAAAATCATACCACCTTAGGTCACTAAGGAAGCACATTGCTCTTGTGAGCCAAGAACCAACACTGTTTGGTGGGAGCATAAGGGAAAACATTGCATATGGGGGACCTAACAAGATTGATGAAAGTGAGATCATGGAAGCAGCAAGGGCAGCCAATGCTCATGATTTCATCGCAAGCCTGAAGGATGGTTATGACACATGGTGTGGTGATAGAGGAGTGCAACTCTCTGGGGGTCAAAAGCAAAGAATTGCAATAGCTAGAGCCATATTGAAGAACCCTGAGGTGTTGTTGTTGGATGAAGCCACTAGTGCCCTAGATAGCCAATCAGAGAAACTGGTGCAAGATGCCCTAGAAAGGGTGATGGTGGGGAGAACCAGTGTGGTGGTGGCTCACAGGTTGAGCACAATACAAAACTGTGATCAAATCGCTGTGTTGGATAAGGGAAAGGTTGTGGAGAAAGGAACCCACTCGTCTTTGTTGGCTGAGGGGCCAAGTGGAGCTTATTACTCTTTGGTGAATCTACAAAGAAGACCAACCAAACATGAAGGTTAACTCTATACATGAAGGGTCTATTTAGTTATAAGATAGGAGTACGTGCTTCCGAAAACTGTTCTATTAGAAAGAAAAAGAATCTTTATTTTCGGTAGAAAATTTTTTAAAAACTTTTTTAAATTTGTATTCAAATGGCTCAAAATAAGCTAACCAAAAACCAAGCTGCCAGATACATTAAACCTTTATTTTGGGCTTCATAGGAGATAGCTACAAAGAAGAATGACGAGGTTGTTGTGGTAACTGGTGAAAAGTAAGCTAAGCAATGGAAGGAAGAAAATGCCTATAACAGTCTTTGTCTCCCCCAACTTCTTAAATTTCTCATATTATATGCATAAGTTATATGATAATTAATTTTATTTGACTTAAAATGTATGTAATCTTCAAAATAAAAATGTTGAGTTTGCCCTTGAAACTATGTTTGGCAGATGAAACATTTTTAAGCGATGCTCTATTGTTTTAAATGCATTCATAAACTTCATCTCATTCATGCTTAAATGTATATATAATTATATAATTATATAATTATATTGAGTAAACAAATTCCTAAAATTATACATAATTTGTGGTTATATTTATATTCAATGTACCTTACATTTCATGTTATAGTTAATTTGAACACTAACTACATGAAAATTTTAAATTTATGTATATTCTAATGTCAATATAATACCAAGATATTTGAAAACTCATTAATTTATTAATTAATAATGTGTATAAGTGAATTTCGTCAACCTTTCGAGAGAAAAAATCCATGCAATCAAATTGTTCTTTTTTATAATCCATCATCTATTTTATTCTATCTAAATTATTTCAACTAATTTATCCAACCACTACTAGAAAGTTACTATCTAATATCGTTAATTCTACATCGATTTAGGTAAAATCGATGTAGAAATCAAATGCAGTGACATTTTGCAAATAAGTATATAATATAAAGTATATTTACATTGGTTATGGCTGGACCGATGTAAATATTGAGTGTTCTACATCGTTTTTAGTGGGACCGATGTAGTATTAAATGCGCGGTGACAATTTTGTAAATAATTATAAATAGATCTACATCGGTTCACGCAATAACCGATGTAGTATTGAGAACAAAACCCTAAACTTGCGCAAGAGCCCTCTCTCCATGAATAACTCTCTCTTCTCGCTTTGAGGACGCGTTGTACGACCTCTACTAGTGCCGCAGTGACCTTGCCATGTCGGACTGCGCCACCTGCGTCGCGCGCCGACGACATCTGCCGCCAGACCTGCGGCGGTGCCGTGTAGCTCGACGGCTGCTTCATCAAGTACGACCATGCCACCTTCATCGGCGTCGAGGACAAGGCAGTGGTGCTCAAGAAGTGCGGGCCCTCCATCGGCTACAACCTCGACGCCATGGCCAGCTGCGACGCTGTGCTCGCTGACCTCTCCGGCAGTGGCGGGATCTTTAGGGTGGGCAACTCCGGTGACGTGCGAGGCGTGATATCGTTGGTTAACAAAGGTTATTCAGGTTAATTCATTGTTATAAATCCAAAATTTTGGCCCTTTATTGGAACTATATTAAACACCGAATGCATTTTTTGTTGTATGGAATTATAGATAAGTATGTGGCACATGTGGAGCCTCAATGTAGAGCTATTGACAGGGAATTTGACAAGCTTTCTATTGGACATGACAATGGTTTCTTGTGGGATGTGGTCAATCCGGAATCCAGTAAACTGCAAGCAGAAGATGGAGTGCCTGGAGAAAATGCTTTTGAGGTGAGGATTTTTTATGTTTTTGGTAGTTGATTTGACTTGTTTGTTTAAGGAAATAGGTGATGCTTGGATAAGGGGTATGTGGTCTAGAAATTCCAGATGAAAGTGGTTGTATAGAGAAATCACATCGTTTATGGAATGTGTAGTATCATTGTGAAGGCTAAATCATTGAATGGGGAGTGAACTGGCTTCACGTCTGCTACTGCATCATTGTGGGTTTAATTTTCTTAACAGTGGTCTAAAGATAGATACATGGAACTTGTACAAACTCGTATAATTGGTACTACATGATATATTTACATAAACTAGGTTGTTTTAAGGAATTTTTATTATGTGGTTTGTTGTATAGGGGAAAAAGTTGATCTACTAGGTGATATGTGAATTGCCTAACTTGTCACGAAATTGTAACTATTTTGTATTAATTCACTATGATTCACTATAATTGTAACTATTTGTATTAATTGAAACCGGGTGTGTGTGTTTAATGTTATTGGTTTTCACAGGCCCTCCAATCATGTGTTGGATATGAATCGTATCTGGGATTCAATACAAACGTGAAGCCAAGGATAGATGTTGATATCAAAGAGTGGCAAGAAAAGAAACAAAAGAAGCATTCGTCTCTGTTTTGTGCAGCTTTTATTTAGTTCCATGCATTCTGTTGGTAGTGTTTTATTGGAAATTAGAAGTACTATTTAATTTATCTTTCCTTGAATAAGATGTTTATACATATTTGGATTGAATGTTGTTTTGGCTTGCAAAATGTTCAATTTTAAAAAACACATGCCCTCCATCCACTTGAAAAGGAAGTCCTATGTGGGAACAATGAGATTAGGAATGTAGAAGGGGAGATAAATCTACGTCGATTCACCTAAAACCGATGTAAATTAAGACATAAATCTACATCGATTTTTAGCAGAGCCGATGTAGATTTATGTTCTAATCTACATCGGTTCTGAGAACTGATGTAGAAATCTATATATTTTTTTATGTCGCTCTATTCTACATTAGTTTTAGAACCGATGTAGATGACTTCACGTAACCGATGTAAAAAACGTGTGTTGTAGTAGAAAACAAAAAGTAAACAAATTTGGATCAAATATTTTGTTAATCCAACAATTTTAATATCCTCTTTTTTAGTATGGATGTAAGGGCCACTCGAAGAAGTTGATTGACAAGGTACTTACCAGACAAATCGAACATCAAAAACTATAAGCATGCATGCTCGAAAATGACTCGAAAAAATGCAAGAGGTGGTTACCGGAGGTTTTAGGCAGTTAAATAAGTGCACCAAAGCAGTTATCGAAGATCAAGTTAAAAAATAAAAACGTGAATGGAACGGTTGGGAGAAGTTACCTTTAAGTCGCATAATCAGTATAGTGGATAGCAGTTACATACCCACGATGGAAATTAACCACTCTCGATTAATTCTATAAATATGAAGAGTCTGTCACTTCAGAGGGGTCAGAAATTTCATACTTGCACTTTTGTAAGCACTTTCTACCCGCGTATATGGCTTCCGTGCATGGGATTGCTGTTGGGTATGGTTTCTTGGCCACGTTTTGATTTCTTTTCATAGAATTAGTGTAGTTTAGTTTAATTTCATAGTTCATAGTTTGTCGTTCTTAAAATCATCATTTTATAACTTGATAATTATGTAAATTGGACAATGATTTGTATTGCCAATATATGTATTGTTCATTCCGTTCATTTGAGTGTTTATATGCATGAAAATTGTTGTTTGATAATTATTTATGAAAATCTGGAAACAAATTCTTATTAATCACTCTGTTTGATAATCTTTCTGTTCTTAAGAAAGTTTAACTGTAAAATACCTAAATTGAAACGATTTCGTGCTAGTTCAAATAAAAAGAACTCATAGACGAATTCCACTACAAACAATGGGTGTGCCCAACTTGAGACACAACTACATACATTTTAAACCAAATATGCAACATCACTATAAGAGTAGATATCCCAACAAGATTGACACATAAAAATTGTGAGTAATAACATACATCCTTACTTAAAATTACTTAAATTCCTCCTATCATAGATAAAATCATCACTAATGAAACTATGTAAAGAGTCCCCCAGTACAAAACTGTTATTAAGAACATACATCATTACTTTAGTGTTCAAAGTAAAAGAAATTCAAATAACGCATAAAATTGAATGTAGTGTTTTGGACAAGAAAGAAGTCATATATATATATATATATATGTGTGTGTGTATATGTATGAGGAGGGTTATAATAACATCAGTGTAACTTTTACTAAGTATTACACTGTTCAATAACTTTATATTAAATGTGAAATTTGTAAATCCAACCGTTAGATTGAAAGTTTTTTACTCTTAAATCATATATACAAAGTTTTATATTAATCTAAAATGATTTGATACTTCATTCTTATAAAACAAAATTGATGTAATATATACATTTCAAAATATATTAAAATATGAACAATTTGATTACCTTCAAGTTGTTGTTCAATTTTAATAAAATTTGATATAAACATATAAAGTGATATGATCTTTCAATTTAATGGTTAAATTTATAAAATTCACATTTAATATAAAGTTATTGAACAGTGTAATAGTTAGTAAAAATTAAATCAGTGTTATTATAACCCTCCTCTCTCTCTCTCTCTCTCTCTCTCTCTCTCTCT